GTGGTGTGGATAGGCAAAATAAAATATAGTCAAGACACCATGTGTGTAAAATGGGGATTGGAATTGGGTTCCAGTAGGTTTACACTACTAGGAATAAACTTTTCTGTCAATTTGCATGAACTGGAATTGTTAAACTATGGTCCAAGAATTAAGGAAATTGAGAATATAATAAAAATTTTGTCTAAACAAACATTAACAGCGGTTGGAAAAATAACAATCATCAAGACACTAATTATCTCAAAATTGAACCATCTGTTTTTAACATTACAAGCACCATGCAAAAATACCTTTAAACAACTAACTGACAAAATTTATTCATTTATTTGGGAAAACAAACCTGACAAGATAAAAAGAGAAATATTATGTTCTGAACGTAAATGAGGAGGGTTGAAAATGATAGATATTGACAAATATATAAAAGGATTGAAACAAACATGGATTAGACGGTTGTTGAAAAACAACCCAAAACTAAATAAGCTACTAGAAAGTACTGAAAAAATCAGTATTGAAAACCTAGTTTATATAGGCCCAACAAAAAGATGTAAAAACCCTTTTTGGGAAGAGGTCTTTAAAGCCTGGACAGATTTACAAAATAAATTTATACCAAAAAATGAAGACGAGTTTGTATGAGATTCGCTCTGGAATAATGAAAATATTAAAATAGGAACAACATCTATTTTCTATAAAGACTGGGCAGATAAAGGGATCTTTTTGATAAATGATCTATTAAACAATGAGGGAAAACTAATGACTTTTCAACAATTCCAAGACATTTATAAAATTAAGTCAAACTTTCTTACTTATAATGGGGTAATTTCATCAATAAAATCATATAAAAAAGCCCTCAAGAAAGATATATCCATAAACAATCTTAATAAAACACAAGGACCAATTATTCCAAATAATATAAGAATATTTTTTTTATCAAAAAAAAGGCTCGAAAGATATGTATAATGTTCTATTAGAAAAAAACAGTACTAAACTTAACTGTGAAGACAAATGGTCCTTAACACTGAACACAAATTTTGATTGGAAAACCGTGCATAATATGTCTTTTTACTCCACAAAAAGCTCAAAACTTCAATGGTTCCAGTATAGAATAATACACAGAATCTTGGGCACAAATAAATTTTTATTTTAAATAAAAATAAAACAAAGCGATAAATGTACTTTCTGCAATGAATTTACCGAAGATATCGAACACATATTTTGGACATGCCATAAAATAGCAGATCTGTGGATAAGACTCGGTGACTGGATTTATAACCAAACACAAATAATTATTCCGTTTAACATGGATATAATTTTATTCGGAAATTTAGGAAAAACAGAAAATAATAAAATAAAAAATTTAATAATACTATTATCAAAATTCTTTATTTATAGAACAAAACTGTGTGAAAATCAAGTCAGTTTTGCAGGGCTGAAAAATTATCTAAAAGAAAATCTAATACTAGAAAAGAATATAATTTTTAAAACAAAGCCTCTTCACATTGCCAACCTCTACTGGGACCCCTGGCTTCCATTACTAGAATAATTTACACTTAACAAATTAGCATTACCCTATGTAATGTTACTGTGTATATTGTTTTAGCCTTCTCCACACCACCATATATGTTTTATTTAATATATTGTTATATGTTTGTTTTTTGTTTTTTGTTCTTGTTTTGTGCCTAAATCCACATTACGTTTTTTAATATCTTTTTTGTGTTTGTATGAATTTTTTACAATGGAAAACCAACTTTGCCAAATTTATATAATGTTATATCTTAAGACACATGCTAGTTTTGACCAAAATACTGCTGCCAAAAATCCAAATTTCAGTGATTTTTTTTTGTTTTTTTGTTTTTTGTTTTTTTTGTTTTTATTTATTTATCATTTTTTCTTCCTTCTTTTCTTTCTTTATGAAATAAAATTCTCTCTTTATTGAACAATATGGAAATAATGGATACATAATAATATAGTGTATATATTTTATAATTTAGAATACTAACAATTACTAACTATTTTCTATCTAAATATACAATCTAATGTTTAACGAGGCCGGGATAAGGTACCGGTACTTTTTGTATCCAACTAAAAAATGTGAAAGTTTTTCAATAAAGTATGTCGGATGCAAAAAAAAAAATAAATCAATACGGTTTTGACCAGTAAGAAAGCATTTCATCTCAGCAATTCTAAATATATTTAGAAAATGCGCACCCTGTGTTAAAAAATCAGATCTGGCGGGATAAGTGGTCTATGTCAGTTGCTACTTATATGGTCAAAACTCCGCCCACTTGGATTAACATCAACCCTTTATGATCCCATAAGTTTAAAAACACATTGCATTTGCTTTTTTTCAATTTGGATTTTATTCATTCGGTATATAAAACAATATATTTGGCCAAAAAGTAAGTTATGCATGTATATCAATGATCAGCTGGTCAGTCATGAGGTGATTCATAGAATTATGATTGTATACAATTAAAATATAGTGTTTCACACAAAGTAAAACTTTATTATTTTTGTTGTTTATAGAATATGACCAGAATTATATCGTCAGAGTTTTGAAAGATTGTTTTAATAAGATATACGATTACTATCAACAATCTGTTAAAATGCCTGTGAGAATTTAGGCATTTTATAAATTGACTAATTATTTCAGAATTTTAACAAAATGTTTATAAAAATTGATTTAAAAAATGCATTAAATTTTAATATTTAATAAATGTTCACAAAGCTGTTCTAAAGGGCTAACTTGGGTATAGAAATATTTGCTTTAGCCATCAGCCAAAAAAGCCATGCTAAAGAGGGGAATTCGTTTGACTGTACCTGATGTATAAATGTGCATCCTTCCTGAATTGGGACATCAAATCTGTAAGGAAATTACCACGCTCTCTGCACGCTCAGACTTTTTTCAGGGGTTCGTATGTGCCTTTTTGAAGGGGAACATTTTTATGCCTATTAAATATATCTTCATTTCTAAAGCTGTTAAAAATTTTGTTCTTCATCCCGGTCAATCCATTGCAGAACTATTGAATTCATTATTGATTTGTTCCCGTCCTGAATATGCACCAAATATTTGACATTGGACATGAAACAAACAACAACCAATCAATCAAAATATTCATATTGTTCCTATTCCTTATAATACACTTCTGTTTTGAAACAAGTTCAAATATAAGATAAATTTTGTCCTTCATCCATCACGAAAAGATGATCATAATATGACCCTCTAAGCAACAGATTGAACACATACTTCCGTAGTTTTCACTGATTTAACTAACTATAGACCTAAAAACTTTCCCTGCTAGGATTTGAATACTAAACTTAAATTTTAATGAACCAGTATGGGTTTTATTTTGCAAGCTATTGTGTTTTTGCTTCTTTTTGGTCATGTATCTCAGTGCTATCATTTTCTACAAATTACCTTAATCTGAACAGGTGATTTGTTAAATTTTATTAAAAAATTCAGTCATTTTACAAAATGCCTGTCAAGATTATGCATTTTATAAATTGTCAGAAAATTCAGGCATTTTACAAAATGCCTCAATTTAGAAAATGTCTGTAACACATATAATTAATTTGATTGTGTGCAAATTCTTACATTATTGCAGCTACTTTCTTGGAAAATATTTTTTTCTTAAGCATTGTATATGAATGTATTATATAGTAATATGGTTTAAATATGAGGATATTTTGCAGATTTGTTTGGTCAGACAACAGAGAGTAGCAAAACACTAAACATGGGTGACCTGTTAGGATCATTAATGTCAAATATCTACTGCTGCAACGGCCCCTTCCCTTTCTGATTTGGCAACAAGAGGCTGATGTAAGTAGCATGTTAGCTTTTGCTTGTTCTCGGATGGTAAATAAGAGTATATCTTACAATTTTACGATATGGATTTGAAGATTACACAATTGAGTTAGTCCTACCGCTTATCACTGAAGCATCAAACCTTCCTTGTTCTGTCAACTATTTTGCCATATCTTCCCATGATACGATCCCAATGATAGCAAGAATCATTCACAATACACCCGAAGCAAAGCAAAATTAGAAACCAATGGGCATATTGACCAGTACATTGTGAACACTGTACACAAAAAAGGAAACGAGCCGCAACTACTCCAACTGATGAGTACCACGAAAGAGAAGCTGACTTCAGCAAATCATCGAAAACATAAGGAAAGAAATCTGACAACAAATTAGTTTTATTGCTGTGTTATGAGTGATATACTTGTGCAAACAATTGTATTTACCATAGTGTTATCTATAGTAAAATGAAATCATTTAAAAAATATGTAGCAGTGCATGTTACACTATTTTCAGATTGTGTATACTCCGCACAAAACTATAACAAAATACGTTGTATTTTTGTTTAAATGTCATGATAATAGATCATGTATCATATGCTTTTACAATATGCAGTATTGAATAAATGTATAAATGTGTTATTGATATTGTATATGACAAATGTGATGTTGTTTTAAAGTGAAAACAATGGAAATTATTGTAAAGTTTTGATCCATAAAAATGTAACACAACAGTAGTTTGCTATTTACATAGATTTGCAAATTACCAAAACCGTCCTCTATACTCACATGTGCAAAGAATGTAAACAAACAATTTGTTTTAAACATTTTAAACCATTTCAACGTATCTCTCCTTGGCTGTTAATGTTTTTTTTTGTAATTCTTTTATTTTTCATGATGAAACATGTGAATTACATACTACAGTAATAGACGCAAATTATAAAAATTATGTTACCCTTTAAGATTGATAGAGTCATAATGATGTAATAAGCTATTGATTTAGTTAATTAAATGCTGCTTTAAACAATTGCCACTTCTGATCTATTTTTACTTTTTGTGCAGTGGTTAGGAAACAGATTATTGTTTCTATGGTTATCCAATATTTCAAATATTCTATCCCACGATATTTTGTGGGCAATATGTTCTTACATCTACCATCTACATTTGTATATATAGTATTTAAATAGCAACAAAATATTACTTACTGTTTTACAAAATCGTCAGACACATCTAAATTACTTCTTTTGCGCTAAAAGGCAAGAAAATGTCACATTTTTAATCCACTCTATCATGGATAGCCAGAAATTTTGTACAACATTACATTCCCAAAAATGTATAAAGAGATGTCTCTGATTTCTGAACATAAAGGACATTTTTCAGTTTCTTTTAATTTACATTTCAATAAAAATGAATTACGTGGTAGAACAATCTTACAATGAAAATTTTCTGAAAACGAGTTTCTGGTTATAATAAAAGGCATGGAGTAAATAGTATTCCAATCTTCAATCTGCATATTCAAGTCTATTTCCCATTTATTACGGGAAGATAAAGCTAATACTTTATTATCTTCCAAAAATAATATATAGAAAAAATTACAGGATTTTTGTTCCTTGTTAACTTAATCTACCAATTTATTTTCAATACTGTACAATTTAGAACTACATTCTTTCTTACTTTTCCATCTATTTGGCTCTTAGTGTTTTAACACTAGCTAATCTGATAATTTACAAGACATTGATTAAGCTTGCTAATTTATATTACAATCGAAGGAAAATCGATGATTTCTATAGTTCTATAGTCTAACTATAAAACACTTTGGTAGAATCAAACGTACCGTACCCAAATACCGTATACAAATTCAAAATAGGCAGTGTAAGATAAAAATTACATTAATGATAAATAAGTTAGACAAGCCTTATTCGAAGTGTATTTATAGCTATATAAAAATTTATCATGTAAACAAAATGTCTACCAATATAGAAATATTTGTTTTACATCCAACATATATTCCTATTAAAACGGATTGCACCTCGTGGAAATTAATTGTAATTCGGGTGACGGTTAAGATTTTCTACCTGTCACTGATTCCAAAGATAGAAACAGGCGAAATCCTGAAGGTAGTCTTATTGAAAATAAATATAAAGATTGTTGTATATATACATATGAGTAAGAATGAAGTGAAGGTTAAAAGTGTCAATCAGGATATAATAATGATTGTGAGTCTTTACATATCTTTTATAGATACGGTTTATTATTGTATTTTATCAAGTATTGATTATATGTTTACCTAAGAGATGCAACATGTCACCAAACGTATTACACATATGTTCCTTAAATTGCCAGGGGTTAAGAAAATATGACAAAAGGATAAAAACTAAAAGAGTGAATAAAAAATGAAAAAAATATTTTTACTAGAAACACATTTTTTTTTTAATATTCTACAGATGATAAATTCACGGCAGAAATATATCATAGTTTTGGAAGTACACAGTCAAAGGGGTTTCGATTTTCATTAAAAAAAATAAATATGATATCATAGACCAATATGTAGATCAAAAGTAAGAATTATTTTAATCAATATACCAATATGTAGATCAACAGTAAGAATTCTTTTAATCAATACAGAAGTCGATAATAATATTTTAACTTCTGTAAACGTGTACTCTCCAATTATAAGTAAAGAAAGAAACACATTCTTTAAAAATGCTTTAAGGGCATTCAAAAATATAGTCTTTGTATGCTTATTATTGGAGGTGATATGAATGAAACGCTGAATATAAAAGGATAGGAAAAATATTACTAAAGGTAACAGAAAACAAAAACATACGACAAATGGTTCGAAAGATATGATTAAAAACTAAAAGTAATAGATTTTTGGAGCGTTTTAAATCCAAATAAAACACAGTATACATGGAGAAGGAAAATTAATGAACTCGCCAACAGTACAGATTACTTTTTAGTCAGTAAAGATGTAAAACCAAGGGTAGTTCAAACGAACATTAGACCTGCCTTGATTCAAAATACAGACCATTTAGTTATTTCTCTTAAAATTAAACCATTATTGCGGAATTAAAGGAAAAAGCTATTTTAGTTCAAATAATAGCATACTTGAAGTTGAATCATACTCGACAAGAATATATGATTTGATAATAAAATACGAAATTTAAGACATACAAAAAGCATAACAATATTATGGAATTTCTTTAAAATGGAGGTAAGGGAGGCCCCTATTGAACATTGTAAAATGTAGCAAAATTAAACTGTTAAATTAGAGAAAAAAAAAGCTTTTAAATGAAAGTTATGATAGTAACATTGTAAAAAATAAACATAAACTTCCAAACAGATTCAATCAAAATAACTGAAGTCACAAGAAAGCACAGTCAGGTGTTCCGGCTTACTTATGGGTTTTCGACAGGACAAAAACATCCAAACAACAATGTTCATCACGGCAAAGATCTATGAGTTTCAATGAATTCGAAGAGTAAATTAAAGCACTTCTTAACAATTTAAATTACATATATGCATGCTTTAGGTACATAATGCATACTGTAAATTGTAAATTTATGCTGTGACATCATATATAAGGCCAAGGATTTTCTCAATCTTCATGAAATATTTATAAAACTTTATATTTGAGTTAATTTTATTAAAATCTCTGAAGATAAACCAGATTTTGTGAAATTCTGCATGTTCTCTTTTTTCACGCAATGTAGGTTGCACTTCTGTAAATACAGACATGGCAATATCCCATAGGAACTACTTTTACCGCTAAAACTGTGCTACTTTTACTATGAAGTTTCGTAAAAAAAATATATCCGAGACAGGAAAGTTTATATGCACTACTTTTTTTTCAAAGGTCAAAACATAGGGCTGTGCGGCATATTTTCAACATTTATATGCCTCGAACTTCTAGGAGTTTAAACTTATACTAAAATTCTGTACTACCCCTCCTTTCACTTTGGATCTTCATCAGAATTTAATTTGGTCGCTATCCATTTGTATTGATACTGGTAACATTCCCTAGTTGTGTCTCTCCGAAATGAAGCATAGAGATCATATCTGAGAACCAGTAGGTAAACAAAACAAAAATCTATGAATATTAAATCTCCCTAAAAGAGGCGTGGTTTGTGAAATCAAAATCAAATAATTAACGAACGTTTCAGAGTGGGATCCGTCAATGATTTCCCGGTATTGCTATATTTTTTTGTCATTGCTGTTGAAATTTTATCCTGTTTATCGAGACAAGATAAGAAATGCAAAGGTTTTCAAATTAAGCTAGATGATAAAACCCATACTCTAAAGTTAAGTCAGCTTGCCGTTTATACAACTATATTTGTAAATTCAAAACAAGAAGTTTCAGTTATATTGAATATAATTGAAATTTTTGGGTCACTCTCTTGCGTTAAACTGAATAAGAATAAAACAGAAGAAATTTCAAATTAGGGAAGACAAAAAGATACCAATACAAAAATTATAGTTCAAAGACATTTATCTTTCCTTCCTGGACAGATATTGTAAGAAAGCAGTAGGGTTTGCAAAATGGGACAGACAGATAACTCTAGATGACCATCCAAAGAAAATGTTATTTTCAATCATTTACAAGCAAACAAGTTGAAAATGCTAAGGTGGAAATTTCGACATTACATATTACCATTTAAACAACTACCATTCTCCTGGAAAATAGCGAAAAGTACTTCAGGTCATATATATAATGTCATTGGAGATAATGAACATTACTTTTAAACATGCAAATATCTGGAATTATTATGGGATATAACAAAGCTGTTACTTGATAAAATAAGAATAAGACATCATATTATATCAATTAATACTCTTTTGTATGGCTACAAGATAAATGATAAAAATAATTATGGTAATAATGATTTTCTGACTATTTTACTTTTTACCGTGTATAAAGTCTATTATGTGTCTGAACAGATACGCCAGACGCGCTTTTCATCTTCAAATAGACTCATCAGTGACGCTCGAATAAAAAAAGTTAAAAAGGCCAAATAAAATTCGAAGTTAAAGAGCATTGTGGACATATTTACCTTTCAGTTTTGATGTAAGATGTAAGATTAAAGTCATATAAAGAGAGTTTCTGGTGATAATTTTGTTAATGAAATTATTGCACAAATGCATGCATATTCACTTTTAAACTGTGTCCTCTGTACTCGTTGTTATTACATTTGTTATAATGTATAATCCATAAAGTATAATCGACAAAACATATTTCATTCGGTTATTGTTGACACAAAAATTTGGCTGTTTAATATATTTTGTGTACCTTTTGGTTGCGAAGTTTATCGATCGTGACCTTGATTAACAATCAACACAGAATCATGAAGTACGTGTATACCTTTAAAATGAGTGAGATGATAGATCGATGTTTATTTGTTGTTTGTTTTTACTTTTTTCCATGTGTTCTCATTTGTTAATTAACCTTTGTCAAAACAGTTGTGACATAACTTGGTGTATTATGATTTTTCTTTCGGAAGAGGGTAAAACTATATTCCTTCAATGTTAGTTCACCTTTTCTTCCATCACGGTTTTCCCCTTCGCAATTGCACTATGCGATTGCCGGATTTATAACGAGATGTTTCATGGCTAAAGTCATGCATACAGAAAAGCTCTTTGTAATGTGATTGGACAAAAATGCAGTATCTATATATACTAAACAGATTATTCAAGCCTGAGGGATGAATCAAGTGAAGAAAATAATTTAAAATACGTACAGAATTTTGTATTCACTGTTTGTTTAAAGACCGCAAAAGTGTTATGTTAAAAACATAAAACGAAAAAAGACGATCAAAATGCATATTTAACTGTAACAGAGACCTTTATTGACGGAAAAGACCGGAACGTGTGAATTGACAAATCATTTCTATACGTTTTATATTTCTTAATACATTACAATACATTGTAATGTATTCATATGACATTATCTGAGAAGATAAGTTTTATCCAAGACATAACAGATATTTGATAGAACATTTTTTTTTATCCTAAACATGATAGATTCTTGATACTCTAGCTTAATAAAAATGATAAATTCTGGAAGATTTGTAGCGTAGCTTGAAATATCGTTTGTAAATATATAACTGCATTTTCCTTTTGTGTTGTTGGTTGTGATTTCATTGGCCTTCACCTCAGATTTTTAAAAAGTATGCCCTTCCTTGCATTCAAGAACTGGCAACAAAGAATGACATTCAGTTATATCTTTAAACTGATTTTCTGAAAATGTGAATCACCAGTTATCCAAAACGAAAGCAAATAGTTATGAAGACAACAAGTTTAATTAACTGAAAAGAGCTGTTGCATTATGCGCAGGCAATTGAGATTTACCACACTGGGTGAGTTTTTGAAAAATAAGATAAAATAAAAACAAAAATATTATTGTTTACAAGCTGCAATGAAAAAATATTTTCTTTTTTGTACTGAATGGCAAGAGGCTAGAGCAGATTAAGTAACCGTAGTAACTGATCTACTCCGCCCGTCATTCCTTCCGAAACCCATAGAGGTTAACTTGGATATATATATACATATGGAAATCCCACGATTCTACCATCCAGTAGTAAAAACCATGATAGGTATATGGGCATATGATTGGCTGTAAAGGATGTAAATATGCAGTTACACTTGGTTGGGATAGAGACCCTAAATCTTCCTGAAGTTTACGCCGTGGAACACCGTGAAACAAGTGTTCTTTGAGAAGGTACCTTGTTTGTTTCATCTGTTATTTCAAAAAATGTACTTTATTCAAACTATGATTGAATACACCTTGAAGATGAATACCTACTTACTTTTGATATTATGTCAAGGTCTCTGATAGTCTGTCTGTGTCAACAAAATGACAAATTATTTGATATGTATGCAATAAATGAAATAAATGAAATATACACTTACTTTCTTTCAATAGCTTGCAACATAAATGATATTCAGTTTAAACTTCAGACTGATTTTCAGAAAATGTGTATTACCGGTAAACCAAAACAAATGCAAATAGTCACGTGGGCTAGAAGTGTTCTATTTTCTGTGACAACGTTCAATCATAGGAAAGAACTGGTGTACACAGCGAATGCTAGAGGGAATTTTTTCAAAACACAAAGAGTGGGTTTTTGGAAAATAAAAAGCTAAAATCAAAATAAGTTTAAAAGCTGCATTCAAAGATAATATATTTTTGTTTTGTAAATGCGCCACAAGATGCCTGAGTTGGTGTGGTAACTGATCTATTACGTACATCTTTCTGTTCTGTCGTCTAAAACTCATAGAGGATTGACTTGGGTATAGAAATATGGTCATCCCAAAACGCGGCCATCCTACAGTAAAATCCATGCTGTGTATATGTGTCATGCATATAGAAAATATTTGAATAAATCATCTTTATTTATACATATAATGAAATATGCACTAACTTACTTACTTACTATCAGAAGTTGGCAACAGATTTTGTGATTTGGAATCATACATTAGTACCTAAAAGATGCATTTGAAAAGGCTGGGGTCTGTGGGCTGCATAGTTCCCAAGAATCTGAGCTTTTCCTAGATTTATACTTGGTTTCAGAGGAACTTTTTTCAACCATCAAATTAAAGATGCACTCAATTTAACTGATAATTTAAAATGGCGAAGTCCAAATCCGGTTTATAGTATGTTTAGTCGGTCAGAAATTGGTGGCAATTGTCTACATGACTCAATATAATTAACGGCCCTGACATTCAGTTTTATATTTAACCCGATTTTCAGAAAATGTACATTACCTATAAAGCAAAACGAATACAAATAGTCACGTGGACAAAAGGTGTCTCATAGTTGTGACAACGTTCAAAACAAAAAAGGGAAGAACTGATGTTCTAAACGAAAGCAAGGGTGATTTTGTCCAAAGACAAAGGGTGAGTAATTGAAAAATCATAAGATACATACACAAATAATTTTGTACAAAACAAATATTTGTTTTATCCAAGATATGCCAGATCTTTGATAGTCTAGCTTAAATTATTCTGATAATTTCTGGAAGATTTGTAGCTTGACATATCGTTTCGACTCTTGTCTATTGTCGAAGTCATATGTAAAGATCTGACTGCATTTTCTCTTTGTAAGTTGTGATTTCATTGGCGTACACCTTTAAATTGTACATTAGATAAAGTATGCATTTACTTGCTATCAAAAACTGGCTACAAAATATGACATTAAGTTTTATCTTTAAAACTGATTTTTAGAAAATGTGAATTACCAGTTAACTAAAACTAATCACGGGGCCTACAAGTGACTCATTGTGGTGATAACGTTCAATTACAAGGCTAGAACAATTCTGATACCTTATCTACCCCGTCCATCTATTTGTCCTTCTGGTGAAAATGTTGCCATATGTTTGGCTGTGTCTCTTTGAGAAGGTACCTTGTTTGTGTCATCTGTCACTCGAAAAGTTTCACTTCAATTTTATTTGAACATGTACTGTATGAACAAAGCTTAAAGATGTACACCTCCTAGTAAAATAGTAAACAGAGTTTATCAAAATGCGTACTTATCTGTTATCACATGTTGTTATAAACTATGACACTAAACGAATACGGAAAATTTCTGGTTTGAGCCGATACAATCTAACAAAAGCATATAAAATATTAGAAGACTTTTATATGTAAGCTGATTTTCAGAAGATTAGTGTAAGACACGGTTGTCATATACTTTCACCACCTGACGTACTGTTTAAACCTTAAGTTAGAGAACACAATTTCCAACAACAAAATAACTGACTAAACTGAGGAATAAAATATTATCTATTTTTTGATAATATTAGTATAAGTGGAAGTAATTATTTGTAATCAGGGCTGCGCCTCAGGTGTCTGAATTTTCAACACCAGTGTAAAATTCTGTACACCTCTGATAACAGCAAGATAACGCATCATTCAGATTTATTTTTTAGGCAAAGTTTTATTTTTTTTGGAAATTTTTGCAAAACTTTGTCCTCGGTTGAACTGGGGTGGGTGTTATTTACACCCGGGTAATTAACCAATTAGATTGCAAGATGCTCGCTTCCTGAGAAACATTTCATATAACAGATACGAAATATAATGAAATATAAAAAAAACCATGTCATTTCTTCTTCAGGACTAGATGGAAAAGGCAACCAAACTTAGTATCATTATTTTGCTTTTTTAACCTATCTATTTGATTTAATTGAAAGACTTGATGATTAGTTTCAGATGTATCCACTTTATGTTTATACTTGATTTAGTCATAAAACGCAACTGTTAATTGATAAATGTTTACGTGGGAAGCATGAGATTATTACAGGTTCTTTCTTGGGGAAAATATTGATATGGTTTAAATATGAGGGTAGTTAACTTCCAAAAATTTGTACATCACTAGAAGATGAATAAAAGTAGGACAGGAAAACAAACGGAACTATGTGATATATTATAGCAAATCTTCAGAAAATTCAGTGGGACAATATATAACTGTTTATAAGTTTGTAAATACCACAACATCTAATTTTTGTATATGCTTATTATGATTTAAGCATCTAGCGTTGTCAAACTTGTGTTGGAAGCATGAAAATAATACAGGTACTTTCTTGGGGAAAATACTGATATTGTTTAAATACGAGGGTAGTTAACATCTAATAATTTATACATCACTAGAAGATGAATAAAAGGAGGACAGGAAAACAATGGGAAAAAAAGTAAAATAACAAAAATACAGAACTGCAAGGGAAATTCAAAACGGAAAGTCCTTTAGAAAATGGCAAAATCAAAAGCTCAAACACATCTTACTAATGGGAAACAACTGTCATATTCTTGAATTGGTACAGGCGTTTTCTTCTGTAGAAAATGGTGGATTAAACCTGGTTTTATAGCTAGCTAAACCTCTCACTTGTATGACAGTCGTATTGAATTCCATTATATTGACAACAATGTGTGAGAAAAACAAACAGAAATAATAGGTAAAAACGTCAAAAATTTGGGTACAGCAGTCAACATTGTAATATAATCTTAATCACTATAAAAACAAATAACTGTTTCAACAAAGAAACATAAAATGGCATATAGACAAAGTACATAAGCAAAAATGAAAGACAATAATTAACAAAATTGACCATAGAACAATAACACAATGGCGGGATGTATAAGTACCGACCCACGTTATATATATATATATATAAAATCAAAAATGGACTAAACAGTAAAGGTTAAAAATAAACAAGGACAAAACATGGAATCTTTAACACGTAATTAAGATGATAAACAACGTCAGTACCTAGAATCTATACTTCAAGACCATCATGTATTATTTGTGAAGTTGAAACGGATTATTTGTCAACAAGGTCTTGGTATCTTCCAATGAACTTTTTTAGTAAAAGGACGAGACGTTCTTTGACATAACCTTGGCTCATCAACTTACTGCTCACACTGGTTTTATTATGTCTGAATAGCAGCTACAAGCTCTTGAATACCGAATGAGTTGGGAAATGTATATCCCAAATGCAGTTGAAGTTGGTATATTGCTGCTAGAGTGGGGAAAATTTATAATTTCAAAATTAAAATCGTCTCGCTAGTCGGAACTGCGTGATATATTATAGCAAATCTTCAGAAAATTCTGAAAACATCTAATTTCTTTATATGCTTATTATGATTTAAACATCTAGCGTTGTCAAAGTTGACATACATTATGGGGGACCGTTATGCTATCGAGAAGAGTTTTACATGAGGCATCGATTGTCTTTGATATCGCAATATTTTGAAACTATAGGTTGCACTTTTGTAAATATAGACAATGCAATTTCCCATATGAACTCCCTTTACGACTAAAATTGTGCTTCTTTTACTATGAAGTTTCGTAAAAAATAATATCCTAGAATGGAAAGTTGATATGCATTACTATTTTATTCAAAGGTCAAAACATTGGGCTGTGCGGCATATTTTCAACATTTATATGCCCCGAACTTCTAAGAGTTTTTATACTAAAATTCTGTACAACCCCTCCCTTCACTTTGGGTCTTCCTCAGAATACAATATCGCCGCTATCCATGTGTATGTATACTAGTATCATTTCCAAGTTATGTCTCTATGAAATGTAACATAGAGATCATACCTGGGAACCAGTACGTAAACAAAACAAAATGTCTATGAATATTATGTACCTCCCCAAAAGAGGTGTGGTTTGTCAAACAGCTGTAATTACAAAGTGCAACCTATACTAACATTTATTCAAACCGAAACATCTTTGAAAACGTTTTTTCTCCCGACAATACGTATTTATCAGAATCATAGTCCAAAAGAAATCACTGTATATACTCTAACTTTTCTTTTACATTACATTTTATACCCCCACCCCTGTTTCAATTTTTAAAGAATTTGAAAACAAGACTTTAATTATTGTCAGCTTACCCTATGTGCATGTTTCCTGACATGAAATGTGTAGAACATGTTTGAAACTATTTTGATAACAAATGGAAAGCATTTCAGAATACTATAAATGCAAAGTTTAGTAGTTAATAATTCCAACATTCAAGATTATATAAAGTATCCAATCCGGACTCTGTCTCTAGTCCACATCTTACTGTATGCCTATTTATAAATAAAAGTTCACAAATTTCTGCCTTAAATGGTCAGTTTAGAAATCTTATCACAACAATATCATCTCTAACCATATCTCTAACATAATTTAATTTAGCTAATATATGAACTAGAAGTGTTTAAACAAAGCCATATTTGCAAAAGTTGTATTTATGAAGTTACAAGTTTGATGTATGAATTTACTCAAAGCTTTATAGAACTGACTGCTAACATCTTTTTTTGTATTACTTTCAAGCACAGTTATTGTTTGCTATACCAATGACCTTTATAATAATAAAATCATAGCCTTTACAGTTAAATTATCTGTTTTATGACCCAGGGGTTGGTCATTTTTTCTCTGTATTTTGTCACTGAGGCCTCAAATTTGATAAATAATTC